AATTTTCACACTTAGTCACTACAATCATCTTATCAAATATATCCCCCTATGGTAGGACCCAAAATTCTCTTTTTAACAATGATACGGTTTGAGAACAGGGCATATTTTAAATTTAGTTTATGACAAGAACAGGGCCTGTTCTGAACCTAGGTTGTAAACTGCTTATTAATAAGAACAGGGCCTGTTCTGTACCTAGTTTGAAAACTGCTTATTAATAAGAACAGGGCATGTTCTGTACCTAGTTTGAAAACTGGTTATTAATAAGAACAGGGCCTGTTCTGTACCTAGTTTGTAAACTGCTTATTAATAAGAACAGGGCCTGTTCTGTACCTAGTTTGAAAACTGGTTATCAGTAAGAACAGGGTCTGTTCTGTACCTAGTTTGAAAACTGGTTATTAATAAGAACAGAGCATGTTCTGAACCTAGTTTGAAAACTGGTTATTAATAAGAACAGGGCATGTTCTGTACCTAGTTTGTAAAGCAGACAAACTAGGTACAGAACATGCCCTGTTCTTATTAATAAGCAGTTTACAAACTAGGTACAGAACAGGCCCTGTTCTACAGAACAGGCCCTGTTCTTATTAATAACCAGTTTACAAACTAGGTACAGAACAGGCCCTGTTCTTATTAATAACCAGTTTAACCAGTTTACAAACTAGGATGACAAGAGCAGGTCTCTTCTTAACCTGATTTGTAAACAGGTTTACGCATTCAACGATTTGTGGCTATGTAAAAATATTTATGTTTCTGTAAAAAAAAGTGTATTATTTATGTTTCTATAAAACGTTTTTTGTGTAAATAAATTTGTCACTTACACGACATTGTTTCATCAATCAATTGATATGATCAACGCTGTCTATAGGAAAATAGGTTTACACCTCAAAGCCTGGGGTTCGATTCCCTGCTGTGGACAGATCGGAAATAGCCCATTGTTTAGCTTTGCGCTTAAACAACAATTTTCGTTTCAAAGATGAGACAAAATACTATACATGAGAAACGTGAATAAAATATTTAACGTAAACTTACTTTCTGTTTTAATTTGTTCGTGCTTCAAGCTTTCTGAAATCGTCTGTAATTTGCATGTTTGTATCATTAAATAATATATATATATATAGTTCGTTTACTTCGCTGTAGATGACACCACTTGCAAACATGGATTTGTGCAGTCCATCCAAAACGTGCTCAACTTGTTCAAGGGTTACTTTTATGATTAATTTAGTCGTTTAAATGTTAAGGTCATCTTGAAAGGTTTCAGTGAAATTTAAATAAATGTCCCAGGTCACCAAGAAGGTCAAGAATAGTTCTGAAATATTTTTTAAATACAAGTTTCAAGTCTACTTGAGAAACTAGTTATTTTGTTATCAATGTTAAAGACTTACATTTAAACCAGTGTTACTCAAGCACCGGTCGACAGACTTGACTTCATTAAACCAGTGTTTCTCAAGCACCGGTCAACAGACTTGACTTCATTAAACCAGTGTTTCTTAAGCACCGGTCAACAGACTTGACTTCATTAAACCAGTGTTTCTCAAGCACCTGTCAACGACCCGGAGTTGGTCCACACAACCACCTTGTGGAATTTCACGATAACAAACAAACAAAAACTGGATGAAATCGTAATGGTCCACGACAATTTAGGAGATCAGTAAGCATGTTCGTGCTATCGAAAAGGTTGAAAAATATTGCATATCATTAAATACCCATATTATTAAATTAAAAAAATACTGCATATTATAACAAATAAAAAGTAGCGCAAGAGTTGGCGGTGGGTGCCTTCCTTTCTAAATTAGTACACAGTCATATACTATTCTCCGTTCATTGCACAGAATAGAAAGATATCAATCTTAACGTGTAGCAGTCGCTGGATTGACAGAATTAATGCTTTAAGCGTCTCCTGTAATTTTGTCTTATTAACCCCCTTCCCTCTTCCCCCCCGAAAAAAACATTTGCAATGTTTGGGTATATCTTGTAATCGTTGACAGTAAGAATGAACGGTTGACTGGTTACTTGGTGTATTTTGCGCATGCTCTTTAATTTATGAAATCAAAAAACGAGTTGTAAAACCCACAATGTCCAGGATTACACTTTGGACAATGTCATTTATAGATGATCGATGCGTTTTAGAAATCCTGTCTATAAATTTAAAGTAGCTACTTAAACGCAAAGTACGAAAAACATTCGTTTATATTTTGTGATTCTGAACTTATTCACGGACAGATGAACCTTCTACAGGATTTTGAGTCGAAATAATTCAATATTAATATTGATTGGTATTTAGAAACTATTGTGAAACTCAATAAGTCAATTAGCCAATCACCACGTTACACGTCAAAAAGCTAAATGTTGGTATTTCTAAATGTTTTAAAACAATTGAAAAAATATATATTCACATTCATTAGAAGCAAAATTCAAACTTATTACAGATTGTCAAACCAAAAATTTGATAAAATTACTCAACAAATCTACAGTCTCAAAATTTCCCAGCAGTCAGTTCAATATTAACTTTGAAATTACATAAAACATTCCAAAATTACACGGCCAAATTGAATTTAATACAGATAAAAGTAGACATACAAGTGGTAGAAAGATGGTTTACTCGTTTTCTGAAATCAGTTATGTAGTAAAAATGGATCTGGACTGTTTGTGATGTGTAAGAGAACCTTTTTTTTACCAAAATATTTTATGTCAAGCGTTGTTCACTGATTGGTTAGAAAGAAAGATGGAATGTTTATAGTCACACCAATGAAAGGGCTTCTTCGAGGACCTGTGGTTGGTTTGAGATCGATCATCGCAGAAATGTGATGAAAATATGATATAAGTATGGTGTGGAAAGAAAATGGCGTTGCTTTTTATTCTTTCGTTAATGACAGATTTTATGACACACTTTCTGCTACTAGAGGGTGCGCACAGCACAGATAACCAATTGTGTAGCTTTGTGCTGAACTCCAAACATACTATGGAGACCATCTTTTCCTTCAGTGGTGGAGCTGACTGTTCGGATCAGGATCTTGAAGTCACTCCCAGAACTTAGTTATGTCAAGCATTGTTCACTGATTGGTTAGAAAGAAAGATGGAATGTTTTATAGTCACACCAATGAAGGGGCTTCTTCGAGGACCTGTGGTCGGTTTGAAATCGATCATAAACTTAATAAAAATGGATTTGGATTTGATTCCAAATACTCTCGAAACGGGACGTGTTATATTGTCTGTAAGTATATTAGTACTCCACATTTCCTGGTCTACTAGATGTGTTCTTGGTACTATTTTTTATTTTGACGTTAGTAGTATACACTTCATTACACACATATGTATCGTATCTGTCTTTACAATTACCTGCATTTGTGACTGTGAACATCTGACTCAGTGTCATAGCAGGTACCCTAAAATTGTTGTAAGCCAACATTCTGAGATAACAGCCATTTACTTGTGTTGGAGATGACGAACTGATCTAGGTCTACCATTGGTTTTATTCCAGGTTCTGCTAAAAATACTTCAAGATACTTACAACAGCCTATTGTGATTGGCAGGCTTCCATTTGTCAGTTGAATCTCCATAA